ACACAAAGTAAGGAGGCAGCAGCTTTCTGACAAGAAATTATTCAGAATATTTCTCAAATGCTACATTTTTTTTTTTGAGTGTATGTATAATTTCGTTAATGTTGTTCTTTTATTAAAATGACACTTTTTAAATAGTTTTTTAATAGTATTAACCTCATAAGGGGCAATTAAATTAGGGCAGTAGCATAATGACACACACAAACAAAAACAATATGATAAAGAATATTAAGAAAACACATCCCAGCATGCTTCATAATAACTTTGAAAAATATAATAACACCACTAATAATTATGTTAAAAAAAGAGTGATTTTTAGACAAGTAATAATACTTTAAAATCTATTCTGAACGTGACCCGGGAGCCAGTGTAAAGACCCGACGACTGGTGTGTTTTAGCCCTAGTATGAATGGTCAGAATGACTGCTATGGCAATTTTAGTAGCTGTAAAAGTTTTTTTTTTATTTAATTTGTTTATTTGGCTGGGACAGTGTACATTAATAAGCATTTCTGCAAATTGTCATTTTGATAAGACAGTGGATAGACACTGCAAAACATTCGAACTGCATCCTCACGAATAGTCAAGAAGACTAGTAGACTAGGAGCGATATGAAAACACCAGTCCCACCTGTTGCCAAGTGCTAGTAGTTGTAGTGTTAAAGTACACATTAAATCAAAACCAAGGTCTATCTGAGGTATTGGGCGTGGCTATCTTAACCACGCCCCTCAAACTGTCGTCGCTGACAGCAAACAGAAATGGAGAGTAGGAGGAGTCTGTTAGGCTGTAATACCTCTCCCCCAATCCCTTTTCCCCATCTGTCTGAATGAAACGCCTACTTTACTACATCCAATCAGCTCACAGTAGAACAGCAAGCCACACCCACTGTTTTCTCATTTAGTATATGGAAAAAAGAAACAGTCGCAGCTTCTGGTTCATGCAGACTTTAAATGTGTTGTGTTTTTCTATCAGACACCAGCGTAACGGAGCGGTGATCGCCCGCTGCAGCCAGCCGGAGATCAGCTGGTGGGGCTGGAGAAACACAGAGGATGAATATCTGGTCACATCCATAGCCAAAGCCTGTCAACTGGACGGAGGATCTCGAGCCGGCAGGAGCAGAGGAGACGGACCTGACTCAGACAGCGACTTCGGTGAGTACAAGCACACGACTACTCTATTTCTCAGCAGCAGAAGTGGTCATAGTTTGTAAACTCGGAGCACGGTGAATGGGAGAGTACAACAAATCACTATTCTACAATCCTATTAGCTGAAATAACAACAGGATGGTGTTATCAAGACTTTCAGAAAGAGGAAATCAAGAGTGTGAGACAGACAAAAGAGAGAACAATGGCTTGCTATTGGTGGATTTCATGTGAGTGACAGGTTGATCTCACTCTCTTGATTGTAAACACCAATCAGAGAAGAGATGATGTTGATGATGGAGGGGAAGGTCATTGGATTGAAAGCACAGATGATAGGATCATTCTAAAAGTCACGATGTGCATTTCATTAATAATACATAATCCACCATTGCGTACAAATCAAGAATTACTTATTTATAATCTCGGTGTTTTGACTTGAGTCGTGACCACCCAGAATCCCCTGCATCACGGAGGACAGTTTTGGCTGAGCGAGCCTTATTTATCTTCTGCGTGCGCGTGTGTGCGTGTGTGTGGTTAATTAAATGATTGTGAGCTGATCCCGTTCATTTATCAGACTTTCATTAGTGTGTGTTTTTAACCTACTCTACATTTACCTGGCAGAGCTCCAGTCAATGCAGTGAGAGTGTGTGCATGTGTGTGTGTGTGTGTATATATATATATATATATATGTGTGTGTGTGTGTGTGTGTGTGTGTGTGTGTGTGTATATATATATATATATATATATATATATATATATATATATATATATATATATATATATATATACACGAGTGTGTTTTTACTGAGTGCAGACTGCTCTTGTCCTCTGTTAACTCTCTCTCTCCTCTTTAATGTCTGTTATGATGTGCGGAGTGTATCAGTGCTGTCCAGATGCCAGAAGTTTTCCCGCAGGACAGTCTGGAGAATTATAACTGCACTTGTGTTGCATTAAAACCAGTCTTGCGGGCGACTCTCTTGTCTTTTTTTTTCTTGCAGTATGTTATTATGAAAAAGTGTCTCTATTGAAGCCACGCAGAGAATCATCCTGAGATCTAACGGTTCATTACAATAATGAGATCGTATAATGCATTACAAGCTCACTAGTTAGTTATTAATAAATCACAGCCAGTCATGCATTATGATGTTAACCATAGCATGCTTAATTTATTTAGCCTCAAGTCCCTGTCAATTTCCACATTTACTGTAGAGTGAAGCAGTGTTTGTAGTGTAGTGTGCAGTATGTTGTTTATGTAGTGTAGTGTGTAGTATGTAATGTAGTGAATATGGTGTAGTATCTAGTTTATGCAGTACTTTTAGTGTAGTATGCAGACTGTAGTGTAATATGCAGTATGTAGTGTGGTATGAAGTGTATGCAGTGTATGTAATGCAGTATATAAGGTCGTATGCAGTGTATGCAATGCAGTATGTAGTATATGTAATGCAGCATGCGGTGTATAGTGTTTAATATGTAGTTTAAGTAGTGTAGTATGTAGGTTATGTAGTGTAGTATGCAGTATATAGTGTAGTATGCAGTGTTTGTAATGTAGTATGGAGAATGTACTGTTTGTATAGTAATACAGTGTATGTAATGTAGTGCAGTATGCAGTGTTTGTAATGTAGTGTGGAGTATGTACTGTTTGTTGAGTAGTACTGTGTATGTAATATAGTGCACTACAGTGTATGTAGTATAGTATGCAGTATGTAGTGTTGTATAATGCATATTTATTGTAGTATGAAGCATATGTAGTATAATATGTAGTGTAGTATGAAGTGTATGTAGTGTAGTTTGAAGTGTATGCAGTGTATGTAATGCAGTATATAAGGCAGTATGGAGTGTATGCATTGCAGTATGTTGTGTATGTAATGCAGCATGTGGGGTGTAGTGTGTAGTATGTAGTTCTATGTAGTGTAGTATGTAGTATGTAGGGTAGTATGCTGTGTTTGTAATGTAGTATGGAGAATGTTCTGTTTGTAGAGTAGTAAAGTGTATGTAATGTAGTACAGTATGCAGTGTTTTTAGTGTAGTATGCAGTATGTAGTGTAGTATGAAGCATATTGAATGTAGTATGAAGCATATAAAGTTTAGTATGAGGCATATTTAATTTAGTATGAAGCATATAAAGTGTAGTATGAGGCATATTGAATGTAGTATGAAGCATATAAAGTGTAGTATGAGGCATATTGAATGTAGTATGAAGCATATAAAGTGTAGTATGAGGCATATTGAATGTAGTATGAAGCATATAAAGTGTAGTATGAGGCATATTTAATGTAGTATGAAGCATATAAAGTGTAGTATGAGGCATATTGAATGTAGTATGAAGCATATAAAGTGTAGTATGAGGCATATTGAATGTAGTATGAAGCATATAAAGTGTAGTATGAGGCATATTTAATGTAGTATGAAGCATATAAAGTGTAGTATGAGGCATATTTAATGTAGTATGAAGCATTTAAAGTTTAGTATGAGGCATATTTAATGTAGTATGAAGCATATAAAGTGTAGTATGAGGCATATTTAATGTAGTATGAAGCATTTAAAGTTTAGTATGAGGCATATTTAATGTAGTATGAAGCATATAAAGTGTAGTATGAGGCATATTTAATGTAGTATGAAGCATATTTAATGTATTTAGGGAATTTAGTGTAGTATGCAGTATGCAGTGTAGTATGAAGCATGTTGTGTAGTATGAAGTGTATGTAATGCAGTTTATAAGTATGCATTGTTTGCAATGCAGTATGTAGTGTGTAATGCTGCATGCAGTGTGTGGTATTTAGTCTGTGTAGTGTAAAATGCTGTATTTAGTGTAGTATGGAGAATGTAGTGTTTGTAAAGTAGTACAGTGTATGTAATATAGTGCTGTTTATAGTGTACATATAGTATGCAGAATGTAGTGTAGTATGAAGCATGTAGTGTAGTATGAAGTGTATGCAGTGTATGTAATGCAGTGTGTAGTGTATGTAATGCAGCATGCGGTGTCTAGTGTCTAGTATGTAGTTTAAGTAGTGTAGTATGTAGGTTGTGTAGCATGCAGTATGTAGTGTAGAATGCAGTGTGTAATGTAGTATGGAGAATGTACTGTTTGTATAGTAGTACAGTGTATGTAATGTAGTGCAGTATGCTGTGTTTGTAATGTAGTATGGAGAATGTACTGTTTGTATTGTAGTACAGTGTATGTAGTGCAGTATGCAGTGTTTGTAATGTAGTATGGAGTCTGTACTGTTTGTTGAGTAGTACTGTGTATGTAATGTAGTGCACTATACAGTGTATGTAGTATAGTATGCAGTATGTAGTGTAGTATGAAGCATATTTAAAGTACTATGAAGCATATGTAGTGTAGTATAAAGCATATTTATTGCAGTATATAAGGAAGTATGCAATGCAGTATGTAGTATATATAATGCAGCATGCGGTGTATTGTATGTAGTTTATGTAGTGTAGTATGCAGTGTTTGTAACGCAGTATGGAGAATGTAGTGTTTGTAAAGTAGTTCAGTGTGTGTAATGTAGTTTGTAGTGCAGTATGCAGTGTTTGTAGTGTAGTATGAAGCATGTAGTGTAGTATAAAGTGTATGCAGTGTATGTAAGGCAGTATATAAAGAAGTATGCAATGCAGTATGTAGTATATATAATGCAGCATGCGGTGTATTGTATGTAGTTTATGTAGTGTAGTATGCAGTGTTTGTAATGTAGTATGGAGAATGTAGTGTTTGTAAAGTAGTTCAGTGTGTGTAATGTAGTTTGTAGTGCAGTATGCAGTGTTTGTAGTGTAGTATGAAGCATGTAGTGTGGTATGAAGTGTATGCAGTGTATGTAAGGCAGTATATAATGAAGTATGCAATGCAGCATGTAGTATATATAATGCAGCATGCGGTGTATTGTATGTAGTTTATGTAGTGTAGTATGCAGTGTTTGTAATGTAGTATGGAGAATGTAGTGTTTGTAAAGTAGTTCAGTGTGTGTAATGCAGTGCAGTATGCAGTGTTTGTAGTGTAGTATGCTGCATTTAGTGTAGTATGCAGTGTATGTAAGGCAGTATGCAGTGTATACAATGGAGTATGCAGTGTGCTAGTGTTTGTGTGTAAGCGTGTGTTCTCTCTGTCCTCATCAGACTCGTCTCTGACGGGATGTCCTGCTCCAGACTCCAGCGCCGCCGCACAGAAGCTGCTTATTCTGGACGCTCGCTCCTATACTGCAGCCGTGGCCAACCGCGCCAAAGGAGGCGGCTGCGAGTGTGAAGGTCAGTGCTGGACAACACTACATCGGGGCACCAAATAAACATTTGGTGCTTCTTAATACCCAGGGTGTCCGTGGGGTCTTAAAATGTCTTAAAGTGCGTTTTCAGATTTCACTTTTAGGGCACAACCAAGGGCAACCAACAAGTTTATTTGTTTCCTAAATGACATCCACAGATGAATTGTTCAGCAGTAAACTAGCAATGTGAGCTAACAACATCGATATGGTTAGTTTTGATGTCTTCTATAGTTTAAAATGTTTAGTGAGTACAGCCCCAGATGAGTATGCTGGACTTCAGTGTGTGTGTGTGTGCTGAAGTCTTCTGGTGTGTGTGTTTGCAGAGTATTATCCCAACTGTGAGGTGATGTTCATGGGCATGGCCAACATCCACTCCATCAGGAACAGCTTTCAGTCGCTCAGAGCCGTCTGCAGTCAGATCCCAGATCCTGGAAAGTGAGTGCCAATCCTTCATCATTTATCATGCTTGCTTTATCATGCAAGTCTAAAAACCACCAAATAAACATTGAAATAATGCATTGAGAAAATGTCCATAAGAAAATTGCAGCAAAAATCAAAATGCATTATGTTAATATAGGAGTTAAAGTCAGAATTATAAGCCCCCCTGAATTATTATGCTGCGTTCACACCAGATGCGGAAGGCGCGTCAAGCGCGAGTGATTTACATGTTAAGTCAATGCAAACGCACAAATAGACATCCTGCGGCGCGATATGCGCGAATGGCGCGGCGCGAATAACGAGACTTGCGCAGTGCGTATGGTGCGAATGTGGTGGCGCGAATTGAGCGTTTTGCGCGTTTCGCGCGAATCACTCGCGTTCGAAAATCTGAGCTTCAGCGGACATTCGCGCCGCGTTAACCAATCAGGAGCTTGCTCTTGTGGGGGCGTGATTGTGATGTATCGCCTATTGTCGGTGTCCCAGGGGAAATCCCCCAGCAGACATCGACAAGAAGTTCATCAAACTGGGCTTGGCTCAGTCAGAAGCATCGCTGAAAACCTCCATCAGCCAGGTTCAGTTTCTGGAGGAGTTTATGAGCTCACAGAGCTGGATACAGTTTTAATAACTCATCTCTAATAACTGATTTATTTTATCTTTGCCATGATGACAGTAAATAATATTAGACTAGATATTCTTCAAGACACTTCTATACAGCTTAAAGTGACATTTAAAGGGTCACGAAACACCAAAACACATGTGTTGAGCTTTTGACAGTGGTATATGTGTCCCACACAGCTAAAAACACTATTAGGACACCTATATTTCACTAAAAAGTGTAAATTGGTTGTTTTTGTGTTATTTCAAGCAAATTCGTACTTCCTGTTTGAAACGAATTTTTGAAGCTGCGTCACGGTCATGACATAATAGCGTGTATTCCAGCGTGCAGACTGGGCGTCTGTGCCAGAGTGAGTCTTATTACGTCTTACAGTGTGCTGCATTAATGCATGAGTAAGGCTTGGTTCAAACCAATCAGCGCGCTCTATTGTGCAACTTCATTAATATTCATTTGTGTCACCGTGTTTACACCACAAAGACGCCACGTTGTGTTGGCAAAACAAGCGTGAAGTGTTGCTTTTATAGTTTGCTGCCGATAAGTTTCGTTTTCATTTTCTCTCTGTGAGAGCTTATCTGGATCACGTGTGGATTAACAGTGTACGCGACGCTCGACAACAATAACTTACGTGTCTAAGGAGGATTATTGTTTACCTGAGAGCTGTTCTCATCTGCAAACGCTGAAATCTGGATTTGCTTGTAGTATTCTCTCCATAAAGACGCGGCTCTAGTTGCTGGTGATTGTTCTGTCTCTACAGATTTGGTAAGTGAGCGACCAGTGCTCTTTGTTTATTCAGTTTGTTCATATCGAATTAAGTTAACTATAGCACTGAGTGCAGAAATGTTAGCACCGCATTTTGTGACCGGAATAACACACGCGGCTTTCTGACACTACCTGCCGTGTGCATCTAAGTTTCCGGGAAATGCGGAGTTTTTTTTTTCTCTCAATTCGCCGTGCGGTATCAAACACTGCATGAAAAATACACGCTTAGAGCAGTTCCTCGAATCAAATATCTCGTTTGTCGCGAGGGGCATGACTGAATTCCCTGAATGAAAGAGCCAAACTGCAGTTAAAGTCCAACATTTATTAATTCAGCAAATAATTCGACTACAGATGTCCATGTAGGTTAAACACCATCGCTTTCTCCTGTCTGTGTGGGTGTGTATTTTGACTCTGAAACTCGCGCGTGCACAAATAGACACTCCCACACCATCCCACTTTAGTTCCTCCGACACTCCCCCCTAAACAGAGCTGGACACGCCCACTTTTCTGACTTTTTCGAAAGTAGAGGTGTGAAAACACCCTGCTGAAACGAGGGGGTTTCATGGCCCTTTAAAGGCTTAACTAGGTTAATTAGGGTAAAGTTGGGGTAATTAGGCAAGTTACTGTATAACGATGGTTTGTTCTGTAGACAGTCGAAAAAAAATTGCTGAAAGGGGCTAATAATATTGACCTTAAAATGGTTTAAAAAATTAAAACTGTATTTATTCTAGCCGAAATAAAACAAATAAGACTTTCTCCAGAAGACAAAATATTATCAGACATACTGTGAACATTTCCCTGCTCTGTTACACATCATTTAGAAAATATTTAAAAAATAAAAATAAAAATGAAAGGGGGGTGAATAATTCTGACTTTAACTGTATCTAATATGTGTTTTTCTTCCAGTTGGCTGTCGGCTCTGGAGAGCACCCGCTGGCTGCAGCATCTGTCTGTCATGCTGAAAGCTGCCAGTCTGGTGTGCTCGGCGCTGGAGCGGGACGGCCGGCCTGTGCTGGTCCACTGTTCAGACGGATGGGACAGAACACCTCAGATTGTGGCCCTCGCTAAGATCCTTCTGGACCCCTTCTACAGAACCATAGAGGTAAAAATAAACTCATCTGATTTCGAGGAAATGCATGAAAATAAAGTTGACGTTTATATTTATTTTGTTATGGACCAGGGGTGTCAAACTCAATTCCTGGAGGGCCGAAGCCCTGCACAGTTTAGTTCCAACCCTGCTCCAACACACTTACCTGTAGCTTTCAAACAAGCCTGAAGGACTCAATTAGTTTGATCAGGTGTGTTTAATTAGGGTTGGAACTAAACTGTGCAGAGCTGCGGCCCTTTTGGAACTGAGTTTGACACCTGTGTTATAGACCTTCGAAAAACAAACATAGCTTAAGGGGAATTACAATATTGACCTTAATTTTTATGTTAAAAAATTAAAAACTGTTTTTATTCTAGCTGAATTAAAACAAATAGGACTTTCTCCAGCAGAAAAAGTATTACAGCAAATACTGTGAAAAATTCCTCAATCTGTTAAACGTCATTGGGAAATATCTGAAAAAGAAAATGACAGTATTTGACAGCTTTGTGATCTATGTGTGTGTGTGTGTGTGTGCGTGTTTAGGGTTTTCAGGTGCTGGTGGAGACGGAGTGGCTGGATTTTGGTCATAAGTTTGCGGACCGCTGTGGTCATCAGGAGAACGGGGATGATGTGAGTGAGCAGTGTCCGGTGTTTCTGCAGTGGCTGGACTGTGTTCATCAGCTCCTCAAGCAGTTCCCCTGCCTCTTCGAGTTCAACGAGGCCTTTCTGGTGCGTTAAATACACCGATTCCTGCTATAACTCTGCTTTTAACTCCAGAAATGGTGATATTATGAGTCAAGTTTTGCTTTATTGTGATTCTGCTGCATGTGTGGACATACAGTGGAAGGACATGTCATGTTTCGCAGGACTACGGTGCTAGATAAATAAATGTAAACAAAAATATGAACACAACACTGCTATTTTATAGGGGTGTCCAAATTAATTGTTTCTTCGGTGCACCGTGATGCAGGTATCGGTTCAATAATAATAGCGAGGGAGGCGAGCGGGATTTGAAACGCTCCAACTACTTAACACAGAAACTAAGAAAACACAATTTTACTGTGTGTGTGTTTGCAGAATCCGTCTTTCACTGACACTTACAGCAGAAGTTCCTATTTTACTGCTACTGAGAAAATGAAAGTAAACTCTATTTTGAGTTCAAGTTGCTTTATTGGCATGACATTCAGGACAGTATTGCCAAAGCACTTCAAATATGAAATATATTAAAACTAGGGGTGTCAAAATTAATTGTTTCTTCAGTGCACCGCGATGCAGACGCGGACAATTCGGTATCGATTCAGTAATAATCATAACCGGTTATTATATACTGACGTCATTTATCTCCTACGCGCTCTGTTGCGAGGGAGGTGAGCGCCGTTATTTACAACACTCAGCCAACTCAGGGCCGGCCCGTGGCATAGGCACCATAGGCAAATTCTAAGAGAGCTGTATATCCAGTGGGGCGCCAGAAATGAGCGCAGTTCAGTTGGTTTTGTTTTTTGATTTTCCTGACACACTTTCAGTTATAGACGGCAATAATTCAAAAACCTCTTACCCTAAAAAGATCTGAAGTGTGTTTCCTACAGAAAGACAAAGCTGGTTATGTTTCACAGCTGTCTTTCTTTTTTTCGCTCGACATTACGAGCACTGCTCCGTTTAAGCCCTCGTAGTCTGCGTTTACTTTAGCCGGCAGAGCTCGCGCTGAGAGGAGCTCTCTGTAAGGGACCATTGGAAAAGTGCTAATTTTTTTCGTTTTTCTGCTCCGCTCAGCTCGAGCTCTCCTGTTGCAAGGGCTTAAGTGTGTTTGTTTGTTTGTTTGTGTGTGTGTGTGTGTGTGTGTGTGTGTGTGTGTGTGTGTGTGTGTGTGTTTGTTTGGTGCTGTCTATGTTTGTGAATGTGTTTGAATGAGAGACAGTGTGGTGCTGTGTGTCTGTGTGTTTATACAGCTTGTTATAGCCTCCCCCCCTAAAATATAACACTATATATGGAAAGCATTGTCAATGCACCGAGATATCGAATTGAACCGAATCGATGGCATGATAATCGTAACCGAACCGTGAGACCAGTATAGGTTCACACCTCTAATTAAAACCATTGAAAAAATAATAATAATACAGATAAAATATATTGATAAAAAAACAATACATTTGATAAATATAGCAATAATAATAATAAAAAGTTTAAAATTATTTCTTAAAAAATTTATTAATAAATAAAACTATTATTTTATTTCTCTCTCTCACTCGCTCACTGTGGACATTTGATCTGCTGCTGTGACTTTTCCTCTCCTCTCGGCTGTTACAGGGAAACTTCTGCCTATAGGTCTGCAGCGGGACCCGACCAGATTTCTTGCGGCGCGGGAATAAATTTCCGAATAAAGCACGGGAGTGGTCCGTAACTCTAGTGTAATTTAAACGGGAGCGGGCGGTTTAACAATATCGCTCCCGAGCGAGCAAACATGCGTGTGTGTGTTTGCGTGTGAATGAGAGAGAGTGTGATGCTGTGTGTCGCTTGCTTGTTGCTGTGTGTCTATGTGTATGTGTGTTTATACAGACAGCTTGCAATAGCCCATCAAATAAAAAATATAAATATATATTTTAAATATAAAAACTGTGTATGGAAAGCATCGTCGATGCACTGAGATATCGAATTGAACCGAATTGATGGCATGTAACCGAACCGTGAGACCAGTGTAGGTTCACACCTTTTCTATTTTTTTATATATTTGAAGGGACATGTCTTAGGCCCCGTTTACACTAGTGCGTTTTAGTTTTAAAATGGTGTTTTAGATCAAAAACCATCCGCGTCCACACTAGTGTTTCACCTAGCGTTTCTGAACATCTCTCCGTCCACACTACGCAACCAAAAACGTATATCCCGTGACCATTCGGCACTCTGGGCATGCGCGTTCTAGTATAAACAGGAAGCATGCGTCTCGCTCGGCATTTGGTTATTGTTAGTCAACAAACGCCGGTTGAACAATGAACGCGATGGCAAAGAAAGCAAGAGAGGTATTTTTGTGGACAGACGACGAGGTCGAGTTGTTACTAAACGTATCAAATGAATAACTGCACAATGGCGCCTAAAACAGACAATAGAGCAAACAACGCTCCCATTTCTGTGTCCATGTTGTTGTTTACAGTGAAGGCTGGTCTGCTGTCTTGCGGTAGCGTTAAAGCCATGTGTTATAGTCATGTGATAGAGGCTTGACGAATAAGAGAAGGATACGCAATGACACAAAAGCCCCAATCAGGTAGCGAATCTCGGCAGCCCCGCCTCCGGCAGCGTTTTAGAATAAAAACGGCCTCTCCATCATTTTCAGAACGCTTTGTTTTCGGCGCTCGAAAACGCCGGCGTAGTGTGGACTGATGGCGTAACCCTAGCAAAACTTATGCGTTTTTAAAACAAAAATGCATTAGTGTAAACGGGGCCTATAAATGTGTCCTCTGGAGGAATTTTACTGTAACTAAAAGAACTTTTATGACTTTTTTTAATCAGTGTTGTTGTTGTTGTTTGTATATTTTTGTATATTTACACTGTTATGATTGTAAATTATAAATTGAATATTTAGTACAAGTGTTGCCATGAATATAGCCAATGCTTCTGGCATTAAAACATTAAATAAATAAATAAATGAATAAATAACTAAGCAAACTTCACATTGGGTAAACTTTGCAATTGATTCACAAATTACATGCATTTTAAACTGTAGTGCCTATACTCCCTACTTGACATTAAGAATCCTGAGATGTGACTACTGTGGTGAAACAATATAGTCTTCAGTTTTAAAAATTCATATTAATATATATTTTAAATGTGTGCGTGAGAACTTTCTGTAGTGCATTTAGTGATTATGGCAGTGATCTCAGATTAATTTATTCTAATTAAAAATTAAGAAACTCAATTTATATATATATATATATATATATATATATATATATATATATATATATATATATATATATATATATATATATATATATATATATTTATTTATTTATTTATTTATTTATTTATTTTATTTTTTTATAGTTGAAGTGTGAATTATTACCCCCCCCCCCCCCTTATATATATATTACCCCATTTTTTGTTTGATAGAGATTTTCTAAAATTTCTCCACATAATTGATTTAATAACTCATTTCTAATAACTGATTTCTTTTCTTTTTTCCATGATGACAGTGATAGAAATATGACAGTAAATAATATTAGACTAGATATTCTTCAAGACACTATTATTCAGCTTTAAGTGACATGTAAAGGCTTCACTAGGGTAATTAGGGTAAAGTTAGGGTAATTAGGCAAGTCATTGTATAACAGTGGTTTATTCTGGAGACAATCGAAAACTAATATTGCTGAAGGGGGCTACTAATATTGAGCTTAAAATGGGTTTAAAACAATTAAAACTGCATTTATTCTAGCCAAAATAAAACAAATAAGACTTTCTCTAGAAGAAAAATTAATATAGGAAATACTGTGAAAAACTGTGGTTGTGCACTGATTATCAAAGTGTGTATTGTGTATGTGTGTGTACAGGTGAAGCTGGTCCAGCACACATACTCGTGTCTGTACGGCACGTTTCTGTGTAATAACGGTAAAGAGCGCGAGACCCGTAACGTCTACAAGAGGACCTGCTCTATCTGGTCTCTTCTGCGCACTGGAAACAAGAACTTCCAGAACTTCCTCTATATTCCCTGTCATGACATGGTGAGAGCACACTCTCTCTCACACACACTCTCACACACACACACACACACACACACACACTTGCCCTATTCAGATTGTAATTGATTCTCATGGGGCAAACAAATCTTCACAGCTTCTCTGTGATTAAACATAAGTGGTGGGAAAAGGACTGAGTGTGTGCGTGTGTGTGTGCGTGCATGTTCTCCAGCTGATGTGTGTTATTATATATACTGAGTGTTGAGTATTGTGTGTGTGTGTCTGCAGGTCATCCAGCAGCTGTGTATTATATACTGAATGTTGTGTGTGTGTGCAGGTCCTTCAGACGGTGTGTTATATAGGGAATGTTAAGTATTTTGTGTGTGTGTGTGTGTGTGTGTGTGTGTTTGTTTGTGTGTGTGTTTGTGTGCATGTGTGCGTGCGCGCAGGTCTTTCAGATTGGTGTTATATAGGCAATGTTAAGTATTTTGTGTGTGTGTGTTTGTGTGCGCGTGTGTGTGCAGGTCCTTCAGACGGTGTGTTATATAGGGAATGTTAAGTATTTTGTGTGTGTGTGTGTGTGTGTGTGTGTGCGCGTGTGTGCGTGTGTGCAGGTCCTTCAGACGGTGTGTTATATAGGGAATGTTAAGTATTTTGTGCGTGTGTGTGTGCGCGCGCGCGCGTGTGTGTGTACGTAGGTCCTTCAGACGGTGTGTTATATAGGGAATGTTAAGTATTTTGTGCGTGTGTGTGTGCGCGCGCGCGCGTGTGTGTGTACGTAGGTCCTTCAGACGGTGTGTTATATAGGGAATGTTAAGTATTTTGTGTGCGTGCGCGCAGGTTTTCCAGCCGGTGTGTGTTATATACTGATTATTGTGTGTGTTTGTAGGTCCTCCAGCCGGTGTGTCACACTCGTGCTCTTCAGCTGTGGACTGCAGTGTATCTGCCCTCATCATCGCCCTGCACTGCAGCTGAAGACGCCGTGGAGGTTTACCTGAGCCCAGGTGCTGGAGACCGAGAAGAATTCAGCTCTCGCTCCCTCGACAGGTCAGCACACACACACACAAAACCATTTCACTGTGTGAGTAAAATGAACAGCGCTTTATAGTTTTGGCTGGAGTTGAACAGTATTGTGGTACAGAAATGGAATAATCAAGGGTTGGTTATTTAATTGGTTCAAAGGGGTTTAAATCAAGTGTGCCGCAAGCCTGCGTTTGAGTGAAGGTCTCGGCCGTTAGATCGCCCCCTGGGGGTTGGCTGCAGTATAAGTCATAAAGCCCGCCTCCTCCGTGTTAATGAAGGAGACTTGAGCCCAAATAAAAAAAAATATTACACTTGCAATAAAATGTCCCGAAAGATAGTTCTGGTCGTTTAAGGCACTGGTTATTGTGCTGAAATAGGTGCAGATCTTCATTTTTGTAAACAGTTTGTTTTTAGCAGTAATTTAATGCTGGGCATGTCATCGTGATTGACAGCTGTGATTGACAGTTTCTCAAAGCAGCGCGTCTGAGCTTCGGCAGGAGACTGAAGTGTTCTTATTCGATTTCTGTGTTATTTTACCATGATAAAATGAGTTCAGCAGTAAACTACGGTTTCTGACACACATGATCCTGGTGGAACACTGTTTATTCGCTAAGGTCAGGGCTTTTTTCGGGCTTTATTAGTTTGCTGATACACGCCTAACCACCCAGATAGCAAAACACACTCGGGCCAGTTCCGGCTAGATTCTCGCCTGCCGGAGACTTACCCCTCAGAGCTCAGACTGACTACCTCTGCTGGACCTACTCCAGATGCCTGGACTCACTGCCCAATTCCAGCCCGAGTCAATCGAGCCAGATGCGGCGGCCGAGCGAGCCGGCGCTGCCGCATGCGAGCCGGAATCAGCCCGCGACGCCGCGAAGGCCCGAAGCTGGCGCGATTGAATATATAAAACCCTCATATTTGTTAACGTTATTACATCCATCTGTGTTGATATGACAACAAACGCATGCTGAGAAGTTCGGGGGGCGTGGTTGATTTTACATAAAGCGTTTGATTGGAAGCTCGACTCCGCTCATTTTCGCGGCTCCTCCTCTGGCTCCATCAGACAGTCCTTCTGCGCATGTCAAGGCTCCAATTTCAGCAGTCTTTTGCGACAGTTTGTGCCCGTCAAGCAGGCGTTTTGCCCGTTCAATGGGAAAAGGGGCTGTCGCGTCGTCCATATTTTTTACAGTCATTGGTTTAAATCTACTTAAAAATTTGGCCACAGGCCTCAAAATAATAATAAACAAAATCTTTCACACTATTAAATAAGGGTTAAACTGTGCAATCTATTCATGTGTTAAATATAATCCCAACTCGAGATTGCAGATCCTGTGATGTGACTTCTGCAGATTCCCCCATTGCAGTATTGATGCTGAAATCATATATTGTGCAGCCCTCATAGGGAGCTGATTGAGACGTAGCCTAAATCTTTATCTGGCCTCTTTCCAGAGAGCTTCCCTGAAAACCATCTATGATGCTGCTCCAGCTCCACAAGCAGATTCCAGTAAACAGACTGCAGGACTCTCTCCAGCTCATAATTCAGTTTTATTGACATCTTCAGTCATTATTTGTAATAAATAATTATGGATACAGTAACAAGGGTTTTAGAAAACCTCACAAAACCATTTGCAATAGTTGTCATAGTATTTTAATATGTATTTCCTTAAATAAACATGATTTACATTTTTTGAAGGGCCACGAAACCCCTCAGCACAGTTGTAGGGGAGAAAGACAGTGACTGTGTTTACATGAACATCAGTAATCAAATAATTTGCCAAATTATTCATTTGTGGACTTTAACTGCAGTTTGGCTCTTTCACTTTCATTCAGGAACATTTCATGCATGCCCCCTGTGACAAACCAGATAATGCATATGAGGAACTGCTGGAAGAGTGTAGTTTTAATGGAGTGTTTGATACCACACAGTGAACAGGAGAAAAAAACTCTCTGCATTTCTCTGTAACTTAGATGCACTCGGTAGGTAGCGTCAGAAAGCCGTGTGTGTATAGACTATCCTGTCACAAAATGCGGCGAAAATCCTACATGTCGGTAATAGTTTGATTGCGGTGTTTGCATGTTTACACTCAGAGAGCAGCATTTACAGCAGATCTTTCAGTCTATAATAATGTAGTGATATTAACATACTGTAAACTGAGTAACAAAATCATTTTGACTAAGGATATGTTTAAACACTGAAAGAGTACTGCTGACCATATGAACTAACTTTATCTCTGAATAAACAAACAAAGACCACTGATCTTTGATTACCAAATCTGTAGAGACAGGACAATCAACACCAACTGGAGCCGGGTCTTTATCAAAAGGAGACGAGCGGCAAATACAGATTTCACCATTTCCAGATGAGAAAAGCTCTCGGGTAAAAATTGTTCTGTACAAACGTCATGTGCACTGTATTCCACACTTGAGTCCTGCTGCGCTCTCATAGCAAAGAAATGAAAACAAAACCTTCATTGTAGCACATTTATAAACACAACTCTGATGACCCGTCTCTCCAAACAGTTCTTCTACTTCCATTTTTTTTGGCAAAACAACATGTAATATATATGTAAATGATATTTTTATCTTTTAGTGTGGAGCTAACACAAACCCGACTCACCCACAGCAGTTCTCCCTAACTCTGCTGCAGTCTATACTCTGTGTGCAATAGCGCCACCGGCAAACTAGCAGGAACTGCACTCCCATTAAAGCAGGATTTAATAATGAGCTATTAACATATTATATATTTATTTCGTTACATATATATGTGTCCTAATAGTGTTTTTAGCAGCATGGAACACGTGCACATGAGACAGTCACGGTAAACTCAAATGCTGAATCAAAACTTTTAAAAATCCTGAATCAATATTGGAGTTAGTTTTGCACGCTGAAGGAATGAAGACACCATGGCTTATGTATTTCTGTTAGACAGGTCATGTGCTGGTTTAAAACTCTTTAAGTCACCCAGAGCTGATGTAGATTGGGTTGTTTTGCAAATGGGTTATATGCACAGAAGTGTTGTTCAGCCACTGAAATCTCCCGGTGAAAGATTGATGTGACTATTTTTAGTTTTATAAGGTCCTTTTACAGCATTGATCATTTACATTTATATTTAGTTTAACAACAAAACATCAGTAAATACCACTATTCCGCCTAGCCTGCTTTACTGAGCTGAAGATGCTTTTATATCCACATCCCATCGGTTCATTTTTGAACACTGACAGTCTGTGATGCGCTCCCTATACTGTTTACCACTACTCTGAATATCCGCTCTGAAATAGCATGTAAGTATAGCTTAGTAATAGGTGTAATTCCTGCACGCCGCCGGCCAAACACTGACTACATTTCCAACTGGCGAATGACATGAACTAGTGGGTTGTCTGCCGTCATGTCTTAGTGCATGTGTTCGTGATTTCAGGAGGCGCAGCTTTGAAACAGTCCCTCCCTGCCGTTCAAAGATAATATGCTAAGCGGTTAGCGTTTTGGCAGATCACCTACTGCCAGGGGCGGATTGGCCATCTGGCAAACGCCAGAAGAGCCGGGCCATTTTTTAAATGTGGGCCGGTCAGTTTTTTTTTTTTTTTTTTTTTCTTCTTTTTTTTAATATGGATAGTTTTTGCATGCAGGCAGCTTTTATCTCCTGCAAGATGTATAATAGTGATAATAATAATAATAATTAATAATAATAATAGTAAATGTTAAGCATTTGGTCAAATTGGCGATGGCCAAATGGTTTCAAGAGGGGCGACCCAATCAGAGGTTACGTGGACGTAATCAAAATCCAGCAAGAATGTCAAACAAACAGCTAATTGTCAGAGATGGACAGATTGTGTGGGTGTGTAAGTGTGATGCACATTCACAGGTTACTCCTATAATAAGTAATAGCAGGCAAACTGCATAAACAGACAGCACATGGACTCTACAAGATTCACATTATTATTTTACAGAAATTATTTTTTATTTAGTTTTTATAAATTTGTTTTAAACGGGTTGTTTTTGTTTGTCACATACATTAAATGTTTAAATATCTATTAAATATGCTACTGCTTATATTATTTCACCATCTGTACACCAGTATAAGTAGTGAATGTGCGTGTCTGTGGGTGGGGCTGTGTCGGTGTGGTAATGTGGGCTGGTATGGCTGCAGTGCCAGGGCTGAATGTTTGTCTCAGTCCACCCCTGCCTTACGTATCTTTAATTTATTAATCAAAACATCTAATTTTTTTAAATACCATTGTTTTACTTCGTCTGGTGATATTTGTAAAGTTTTTTTTAAGAAAGGAATAAATTGCGTAAAGCAGTTTGCTTTAAATGACAAATATTTTCCTTTAAAATAATAATTATATATAATAATAATTATATATATATATATATATATATATATATATATATATATATATATATATATATATATATTGTTCAGATGCAAAAAATCCATAAATTCCGCTTGATAATTTCTTGTAAAATTATAATTTTTCTTCAACTCTTGCTCAGGTTTACTTTTATGGTGACAAATAAGTTCTGTTCATTGCCTTTAAAGTGAAATAACTGAACATATGGAGGCTGAAAAAATGCTAATTTTAGGAGAAAATTGCAGACGGCATTTCAAGGTTTTCCATCTGAACTCTTCATATTGTAATTATTATTATTATTATTTATTTTATTTCAACATTCAACCTTTATAGAGACATTGGTTAATGCTTTTATTTGCTAAAAGAGATTCAATTAACTCAAATTACTGATTATAATATATTTGAGCTTAAAACTAATCTGTATTTAAGGTAATAAATCACTTTAGTAAATACTTATCTCTCTTAAATCTCTCAGTAAACACAAGTCTTAACCATTGTCTGTGGAGTGACAGGTTGTGTGTTGAAATGCTGCCCTCTTGTGGAGATCTGATCACATTACAAACAATCACTGATATCAAATCTTGCTTGCTTTTCCCTCAGGCTCCCAAAAACACGCTCGATGGACAACCTGCTGTCTGCGTGTGAGAATGGTGTGACCCTGACCCGTACCTCCAGTGACCCCAACCTGAACAAGCACTGCCCGGAGGGACGGCCCTCGCTGGAGCCCAACCCACCCCTGATTCTGGCTCCAGACGCCGGAGCCCTTAGAGAAGAGCTGGAGAATCACCAGAGTTTACCATCTGAACAGCTGGAGGATGACCAGGGGGTGGAGCCATGTTTGACAACCCAGCCCCTCCCATCAATACCCCGACCATTAGCAATAGAACAAGCCCCTCCTCCTTTGATTTCAAACCAATCACCGCCTCAGATCACACACAGTCCCCTCCCCCCTTCAGACGTGCACGTCAGAACTGCAGAAATCACTTCCACGGCTTCTCTATGTAATGGATTTGCACATGTAGAAAACACTAGAGAGTCATCATCAGACTCCGTCGAGACTCTCACAGAGCAAAGTGTGTGTGTTGAAGTGAAAAAGCCGGATGAAGTGCGTAACGGCGCGCTGGTTTTGCTGAGAGAGCGTCCTCATGCGGTGGAGTACGCTAAAACTGCACGGCGTCTGATTTCTACCAGTCCGCTGCCGGATCTCTCTCTACTGGGCTCTCAGTGGGACAGTGTGCAGGGAATGGTGCAGTCCGCCTGTGGGGGCGCTATTCAGCATGGGAGCTATCATGGACGCCGGCTAGCTAACAAACTCCTGCGTGCACAGGTAGGCTTATGATAGTTTCAGATTTTCTGGTTGAGATTATTTATGGAGTCAGATCAGTCTCAAAAGTAATACATTTACAAAATAAAATTCATACACAATTCACATTCACAAAATTCAATTAGTAAATTCAGAACACAATTCGTAAATACACAAATCCAATGTGTTAATTCAAACTATTTATAAATACACAAAGCACAATTTGTAAAATTCAAAACACAATTCATTACTATATAGCACGATTCATAAATTCAAAACACGATTCCTAAATTTACATTCAATTCGTAAATTCAAAACAATGTTTTAAATACATAAAACACGATTCATAAATTCAAAGGATGATTCGTAAATACACAAATCCAATAAGTAAATTCAAAACCATTTAAAAATACACAAAGCACAATTCGTAGATTCTTACTATTAACAATTGTATAAATATGCAAATCCAATTCGCAAATTTAAAACTTTTTAAAAATACAACACAATGTAAAAAATTCAAAACACACTTCATTAATACACAAAGCATGATTCGTAAATTCATACCACAATGTGTAAATACACAAATCCAATTCGTAAATTCAATCCAATTCATGAACACACGAAACACGATTTGTAAATACACAAATCCAATTCGTAAATTCAATCCAATTCATGAACACACAAAACACGATTCGTAAATACACAAATCCAGTTCGTAAATTCAATCCAATTCATTAATACACAAAACACGATTCGTAAATACACAAAGCATAATTCGTAGAACAATTACATATGTTGACAAATCCAATTCTTAAATTCAAAGTAAAATTCGTAAATGCGCAAATTCAATTCCTTAATTCAAAATACAATTCGTAAATTCAAAATCCAATTCGCAAATCCAATTCTTAAATTCAAAGCAATTCATTAATACACAAAACACGATTCATAAATACACAAATCCAATTTGTAAATTCAAAACTATTTAAAAATACACTAAGCACAATTCATAGATTCATAGAACAATTACATAAGTTGGCAAATCCAATTCCTAAATTTAAAATAAAATTTGTAACTGCGCAAATCCAATTCCCAAATTCAAACTATAATTCGTAAAGGCACAAATCCAATTCCTAAATTCAAAATACAATTCGTAAATACGCAAATTAAATTCCTAAATTCAAAGCAATTCATTAAATCACAAAACATTATTCGTAAATACACAAATCCAATTTGTAAATTTTAAACAATTTAAATTCGTAAATTCGCACAATTCGTAGATTTCGTTGAACAATTACATAAGTATGTAAATCCAATTCTTAAATTCAAAACACAATTCGTAAATGTGCAAATCCAAAGTTGAGAAACAATCTCTAAGTACAGAGGCAAGATTCTGTGCTAAAAGCTAATTTGTACTATTCTTATAAGTCTTGAGAAGATTTCTAAAATGTTTAAACAGACAGCAGGGCGAATGAGTTTTACTTCAACAGTACAGTATTGTGCATGTTTACTATTATTGATATATTGAATATCTGCATATGTATAATCACAGGCTGGCAGCAGTGTTGGTGGTGGGCCGTGTTGCCATCGGGACCCTCTGCGTGCTCCTGGAAGTCCCATTCAATCAGGCTGGTTCTCAGCAGTGAAGAGCTCTGGCTATGCCGCTCTCTGCTCTTCCTCTTTAGGTCCGTCTCTGCGCCAGCTCCTGCCGTCCCACTCCTGCCCGTCTGCGGGGTCTTCAGCATATCTGGACGACGATGGGCTGCCGGTGGCTCTGGACGCGGTGCAGCAGCGGCTCAGGCAGATCGAGGCAAGCTATAAGCAGGAGGTAGAGGTCCTGAGGCGGCAGGTTCGACAGCTGCAGCTCAAACTGGAGAGCAAACAGTTCTGCACGCCGCCCTCGGAGCCCGATGTGGACTACGAGGACGATATTGTAAGTTTATACACACACACACACACATTTCTCATTGGAGCTGTGTAGGACTGGGCAGTGTTATTATTATACAATCCCTAATCAGAAAAGGCTGGGACAGTACGGAAAAACACAGTTGCAATGTTGGATCTTGCAACACACTTCAAAAAGAGTTGTGTCAGTAAAGCATTTACCGCTTTGTAATGTTGCCGTTCCGTTTCACAACACTTAAAAGACTTTTAGGGACTGAAGACACCAAGTGAGGAAGTGTTTGAGGTGTCAGTTTGTCCCATTCCTCCTGCTAACAAGTCTTAAGGTGGGCAACAGTACGTGGTCTTCATTGTCGCAGTTTAAGCTTCAAAATGCACCACACATTCTCTATTGGAGACAGGTCAGGACTGCAGACAGGCCAGTCCTCTACCTGTATCCTCTTCCCCCGCAGCAGGACTCTGTAATGTGTGCAGAATGTGGTTTATCATTGTCGTGTTGAAATATGCACGAGCGTCCCTGGAAAAGAAGGCAGCATAGTGTGCTCCAACATCTCTCTGTGCATTTCAGCATTAATGGAGCATCACAGAAGAACAAGTTACCTTTGCCAGAGCACTGACACAACCCCATACCATGACAGACCCTGGCTTTTGGACTTGTTGCTGGTCTGCAAGATCCTTTTCATATTTGGCCGGAGCACACAGCGTCCATTTCTCCCAAAAAACACCTCAAATGCTGAATCATCTGAGCACAGTACTCGTTTCCAGTGTGTGATGGCCCATCCCACAACTTCTGGACACTGTTAACATAGGGCTTCCTTTTGGCTCAGTACAGTTTTCACTGGCATTTGTGGATGTAACTATGTATTGTGGCACTTGACAATGGTTTGTCGCAGTAGTCCTGAGTCCATGTGGTGAGTATGGCTTATAGATGAATGAGGATTCCTGATGCAGCGCCCCCTGAGGGCTTGGAGATCACAGTTGTTCAGCTTAGGCTTGCACTCTTGTCCTCTACAGACTGAAACTCCTCCAGATTCCTTCAATCTTTTAATGATGTTCTGCACCGCCGAAAGTGAAATGTCCGAATGTCTTCCTCTCTTTCTCTGAGGAACACTGTGTTTAAACATTTCAATTATTTTCTACTGTATTTGGTGGCAAACTGCCGATCCTCGGCCCATCTTTGCTCCTAAACGACTAGACCTTTCTTGGATGCTGCGTTTGTACTAAACCATAATCACCTGCTGACATCACCTGCTTCACATTACATCATTATTTCACCATTTACCTGATTGCTGCCCCAAACTGCTCCTGTCACAACTTGTCTTTGCAGTGTGTTCATATTGTCTGCAGTGAAATATGAATCAAAGAAAATTCAGAAACCTCTACTGTCTTTTTTTATTTGAGTAATTTCCATTCTGTCCAAACTTTTTCTGATTTGGGCTTGTGTATATATATTGTTACTGCCTGGGTGTTTGTAGGATTTTAAATAGCCCTAAACTAGCAATGTGAGCTAACAAAATCAGTATGGTTAGCTTTGATTGTTTACATATGTACTTTAATAACAGCTGTACGTGTGTGTGTGTGTTTGTGTGTGTGTGTGTGTGTGTGTGTGTGTGTGTGTGTGTGTGTGTGTGTGTGTCTTAGACGTGTTTGCGCGAATCTGACGGCAGTGAGGATTCAGACTCTCTGTCCAGTCGCAGTGAGGATCGCTTCAGTGAGGGCAGCTGGGATCGAGTTGAGAGGAAAGACACAGAGGTCAGACATCTTCATCTGTTATCTCTCTGCTTTCTGTTTGACTGTCAGATTTAACTCAAGTGTGTGTGTGTGTGTCTTAGGTCACTCGGTGGGTCCCGGATCACATGGCTTCTCACTGCTTTAACTGTGACTGTGAGTTCTGGATCGCCAAACGCCGCCACCACTGCAGGTCAGAGCCCAAAACTCACAAACATTCATTCATTTCCCTTCTACTTAGTCCCTTGTTTATCAGGGGTCGCCACAGCGGAGTGAACCGCCAACTATTCCAGCATTAGTTTTACATAGCGGATGCCCTTCCAGCTGCAACCCAGTACTGGGAAATAAATTGTATTGTTAATTGTATTATTTATTTTACTGTTGTGTTTTGATGTGATTCTTGACTGTGAAATAACTCAAATCATTCAGTGGAGTGATACGGGGATGTGATTTGCTCTAAACCTGCCGGAACTACTTTAGCTGTGCATTTATCTGACAATAACACCTTAGAGCAGGGGTGTCAAACTCAATTCCTGGAGGGCCGCAGCTCTGCACAGTTTAGTTCCAACCCTGCTCCAACACACTTACCTGTAGCTTTCAAACAAGCCTGAAGGACTACAAGCTTAAAACCTGCAGGTAAGTGTGTTGGAGCAGGGTTGGGACTAAACTGTGCAGGGCTTCGGCCCTCCAGGAACAGAGTTTGACACAAACAAAATCAATCATTCAACAGCCCTGTAGTATAACTAAAGTCCCTTTAAGGCAAGGGTGTCCAAACTCAGTCCTGGAGGGCCGGTGTCCTGCTGAGTTTAGCTCCAACTTGCTTCAAATCACCTGCCTGGAAGTTTGTAGTATGTAGTAAGAGCTTGATTAGCTGCTTCAGGTGTGTTTGATTGGGGTTGGAGCTAAACTCTCCAGGACACCGGCCCTCCAGGACCGAGTGTGGACATCCTAGCTTTAAGGCAAGTCATTTCATTCTGTGGCCTTTTATAAAGGCCTCTCGTCAGTATGCTCAGGCATTCTGTCTGAATGGGGAAACATCAAATTCTCCAAAACTGTTTGTCAAGCTTGTTATTACATATTTGGAATCACCAATAATATTAAACAACATAACTTTAGTGTCTAAACATTAGAAACAAAACAAAATCTGCATTATTTCAGGGTGCCCGAGCTAATGTGTGTGCGCACTCGATCTACACATGTTCATCCTCTGGATAATGATCAGAAGAGCAGTGCGATCAGACAGAGTAATTCTCAACTTGATCTTGATGGTGAATCTCCTCCAGAAATGACAGCGACTCTTTGTTTACAAGTTCGTGCGGCAATTGTGTGGTGGCTGTCATGTGATGTACTTTTGACAGGACGGACTGTACCCCGTGGTCGTTTCACACAGATTACAAAACCGAAAAACTTTTGTTTTCAAGTGTAGTTGGATCATTTAAAAGTAGAGGTTTCAAGCTTTATGTGGATATATTTCTTATGTCTGTGAAGCAAGTATTCGCTGAGATTGCTGTGCGTTTGTTGTCATAAAAGCAAACGTCTGGTCTGAGCTTTCCCCCAGAGAAACATCAGTCTATAGCGATCGATGATTGGCTCCTGTACTAGTAGGCGGGGCTTCATTCACCATATTGACCATTACACTAGTCTTGTGTATTCTATAGACTTTGGTATAACTTAAATTAACAAACTAAACCTTAGTTTAAATTGTTTTATAAAATAAAATAAACCTAGAACTCAAGTAGCATAAGCATAAACCACCATGGAAGGAAATTCACTCTAAGGGTGTTTTCACACCTGCCTTATTTAGTTGTGTTGAATCGCACTAGAGTTTGTTTTCCCTCTTGGTACGGTTTGTTTGGGCAGGTGTGAACAAAGCAATTGTACTCCAGTGTGCACCAAAAGCAGACCAAAAAATCGTACCGAGACCTCTCCTTAAAGAGTTGGTCCCAGTACGTTTTTAAACGCCCCCTGGAGCGGTGGGCTTATGGTGGGAATATGATCTGAACTAAAACAGGTCCAACCGCAAAAAGTACTGCGCCTTTTGGACTACTCCAGCTGCTGTAGGCTGATGCGCTGTGCATCAAATCAAATCAAATCATAGTACAAACTATATAGTATACCATGAGCAGGGACACAGTCAGCAGCGCAGTCGTAGCTCCATAGTAAAAGCAACATTTTGTGTCTGCCGGTTTTGTTTACTTTCGGGAGTTCATTGGCATTTTCCCACACGTGAGTTCTGACCAATCGATAAGCAGTTTAGGAAATATGTTCAACAACATCTGGCCAATGAGAGATGTGGATTTTGTCTGTTGACTGCATTTTGGTTCTTTTCAACTGGTTCGGAACAAAGCCAGCAGTGTGGTGTGAAAACGACCCAAAGACGGCAGAAGATGCAGCAATGTATCTGTGTATTTCCTTTTAGAAGTTAATATTAAACTAAGAGTAGATGACATAACATACATTAGTTTAATGTGTGTGACAAGCGGATGGAGGAAGAAATAAACTGAAAACCAAATATTACTGCAATTATTTATTTCCCTTACATCCAATGAAACCAGTGAAAATATATTATACAGTGAAAGAGAAATATTTACAATGATTAAATGATGAATTACCTGGGGGGAGAGGAAGTAGTTGAATGTGCTTAAATCAAAGAAATAAATATAACAAAACTCAGTAACTGTTTTCACCAAACTAAACTAAATATGAAAAGAAAAGCATGAAAAGAAACATCTTCAACGCACCAAACGTCTTAACTAAACTGCTCTAACTAAAAACAAAACATACAGAAAACAGCACATTCTCCTGAACCTAGTGAACTAATACAAAATATCAATCTGAGTGCTGTATATGTATATCGCGCAACTTACTCCTACACCTCTCCGAGGCATCACTCAAACATGTCAGTTACTGGACAAGTTCACAAGCAAACACATTGCATTATTAAATCGCATACTTTAGACAAGAGCATTAAACAAGCAAAACACATTCTCTCAGACGAGCCCTCGCAAAAGAGACTGTCCTCACAGAGACCCACAGAAAGAGTAAGAGCGAGAACGAAAGAGACAGAGAGATCGCCATTGCAGTTTGGGCTCGGCTTTTAAACGCTACGCCAACCAGCGATTGGTGGCGCAAACCCAGCGTCAGCGGCCAACGTCATCAGCATGAAATGCGGATCCTCCAATGCCGTTCGTACCTGTAACACATGCATGAAATGACACACCCACATACAAACAAACGCACACACTTATCCAAAATACATTCTGCAAAGCGAACGTTACAGTATCATTTAGTGCCCTTGGTTCAGACCAAATGACCCAAACTACAGATGTGAAAGCACCCTAAAAGCTCTGCCAATGATGTGTGTTTTGGGAAGTTTGCAGCAGATGTCTCCAGCACACTGTAAAACATCTGAAATGTTTTGCTCGTTGTCAATTCTGCAGCAAATTGGATCATGGTTGAGTTTAATTTACATCTTTAGATGGAAACATTGACTGGTGTGTGTGTGTGTGTGTCCTGCAGGAACTGTGGGAATGTGTTTTGTAAAGACTGCTGCCACCTGAAGCTGCCCATTCCAGACCAGCAGCTGTACGACCCGGTTCTAGTCTGCAATACCTGCTACGACCTGCTGCTGGAGTCCCGAACGCGAGAGTTACGCTCGCAGCAGCTGAAAAAGGCCATCGCCACCGCCTCCAGCTGAGAGACCGATGCTCTCTACAGTCAAACACACCCAGAGCGGACGTCCCGCTGCACACCGGGAGCGTTTCTAACACACAGCGCTGCTCTGCTCGAGGACGTTCAGGTTCAGACGCCCAGAACAGCGTTTTCTTCTGCATCTGGAAATCAATATGCATCGTCACACCGCAGAGGAGGAAAACACGGGACAATCATCCAGAGGCTCACTATTTAAACCCAGAGAAGACTGCTGCTGCTGCTGCTGCTACAGTATTTAAAATGATTCTACTTTTGTATCCTTATGATTTTTCGTGCACTACAGAGAGAGGGGATCCGAGACCAAAACTGGAGAAATCTGCAGTTGTTTACTTGCTGTTTGTTTGTTTGTCTGCTGTTTGAGGCTTGAATGTACTGTTTGTTTGTTGATCGTGCAGTTTCTGAACAGATTTAAAGAGACGGTTCACACAAAAGTAAAAATCTAAATGTACTATTTACTTTCCGACAAGTTGATACGCAAAAGAAGATGTTTTGAAGAATGTTGGAATTTGGTGGTTTCCATAGTATTCCCCCCCCCACTATAGTAGGTAATGGGTTCCGATTTCAAACATTTTTGGCCATGATATTTTTTTATTTTGTTTGCACATATTGAAATTCAACATTTTACATGCATTTATTTACAACAATAACAAACACTGCAGGTACAAACTATACAAAGCAAAAGAATATAAGAGATATAGATATATTAGAAAAGAATATGTGTTAAAAACTCCAAAACAAAACAGCAACTAAATAAAAATGCTCCTGTTTTGTTTACTGTTAATCTCGTCAAAAGTGACTAATATAATAACATCATCTTTTGTGTTGAACTGATGAGACTCGAGCAGGTTTTTGATTGGGAATTGATGGCAGAATTTACATTTTAGTGTGAACTGTCCCTTTAAATAAACACTCCACTTATTTCTTTTTTTTTGCAAATACGCTTATTTTACAGCTCCTCTACAGTTAAACAGTGGATATTTACCATTGTTGAATCCATTCAGCCGATCTCCGGGTCTGGCGGGAGCACTTTTAGCTTAGCTTAGCATAGATCATTGAAACAGATTAGACCATTAGCATCTCATGGTCATTTTTCTACTGCGTGTGTTAAATCATGCATTTCATTATTGAAGTAGATTAGAGTGATTTTATTAGCGCTAAACTGGAGGATGGTAGTATTACACTTGCATAAGGCATTATGAATTATTGCAGACTCATCTGATGGATGGATTTAACCTCATAAAACCCGATGAAAATGGATAGAGGCCTTAAAATGATCAACATTATCAAACTTGATACTGATAACATTGGCTTCATACCTTCTGTTTACTGATCCGATGAAGGCTTTTTAGAGGTTTTCCTTGCCTCTTCTGAAGCTACATTATGCAGTAAGACTGAAAAGTTGTTCTTTTCTAGACTGTTATAATTCAGCCGATATCTGGGCTTGATGAGAGCACGATTAGCTTAGCTTAGCATAGATCATTGAATCGGATTAGACCATTAGCATCTCTTGATCATTTTCCTGGTTAAAGCTTGCCTCTTCTGAAGCTACATTGTGCATTAAGACTGACAGAAAATGAAAAGTTTTCTAGGTTGATATGACTAGGAACTATACTAATTGTGGCGTGATAATCATGGAACTTTTCTGCATTAAAATTGACTGCATGGTCGGCAGTAAAGTTCCTTTATTATTATGCCAGAATTAGTATAGTTCCTAGTCATAACAACCTAGAAAACAGCAACTTTTCATTTTTCTGTCAGTCTTAATGCACAATGTAGCTTCATAAGAGGCAAGCATTAACTGGGAAAATGATCAAGAGATGCTAATGGTCTAATTCGATTTAATGATCTATGCTAAGCTAAGCTAAAAGTGTTCGGGTCAAGCCCAGATATCGGCTGAATTATAAGAGTCTAGAAAAGAACAACTTTTCATTTTCTGTCAGTCTTCATGCATAATGTTGCTTCAGAAGAGGCAAGCTTTAACCAGGAAAATGATCAAGAGATGCTAATGGTCTAATCCGATTCAATGATCTATGCTAAGCTAAGCTAAAACTGCTCCCCCTTGACCCAAAGATCGGCTGAATGGATTGATCAATGGTGAAACTCCACTGTTTAACTCTAGAAACGTTGTGAAAATGAATAATAAAAGTGAAGTGTTCCCTTTTAAGCTGCTAGTTTGCTTCGTAAAGATCCTTATTTTTCCAGTCACTCTTTTTGAAACTGCGCTTTAAGCTTAACTGTGAAAATCCACTCTCTTGTTTGATTGTGAAATCAATGTTTTAAATGCCAAAATCCAACTCAGATTCCAACATATCAGAACTCGATAATAGGGAAATCACTCATCGCAGTTTGACGCAGATCAAGCTGATCATGTTTGCACCGTTAACCTGTCTGTTGTTGTGGTAACTATACTCATATTGCACTGCGCCGCCACAAAACTAGCGCTAGTTTCTTTTCTACGACTTCATCTGAACGCTCGTCGATCTCCAAAACCCAGACACAGGTCAACTACTGGCCATTTCATGCTTTTGTCTTCTGTGTCTGGTGAAAAACAAACAGCATCACCTCACATTTGTTCAAACTAAGAGTTCTGGTTTCTTTTCCGTCATGTGGTCTGTGTTTTCAGAGCCGGTGGATGATGGTGTGGTGTTTAACGCTGATCCTCTCAGCAGTGCCATGTGTTTTATTTTCTTACTGGTTTGTAACTTTAACATGTTTAATGGTAGATGCTTAACAACAAACAACAACAGAAGAAGAGGAATGATGATGATGATAGAGGAGCTGATCTACACACACTGAGAAGCGTTTGGGTTTGGTCTGATGGATTATCGCTTGTTTTGTTTTTTCATGGTGTTAATGAAGGACACATTTTGAGTTGAAACATTAAAAAAATAATAAAAAAGGAACCCAGAAATGTGATGTATAGTTATCCGGTCTGTATAGTGGCTCAGATTTGTCACTTAGTGAATAATTGTTGTAAAGAAATGCACTGTACAAGTTCAATCCCATGGGTTAAATAAATCTTTATCAGCCGACTGAGTCCCATCTTTGGTTAAATGAGTTTGAGGTTTACATGTTTATTCCGATCATCTCCGTATGCGGAAAATTTGGATCCGAATTGAGCTGCAGATCCGTAGAAATATTTGAACTCCTGCAACTAGACCGGATGCAATGTATTCCAGTGTTGTGCAAGCAGGTCTGTGTGTGCGAGATGAGAAATAGGACTTTATTTGGTTATTTTTTTAATCAAAAGACGTCTATATTTAAAAAAAAAAAACATTTCTGTTCATAAATGCAAGTAATAAAAAAAAAATATATATATATATATATTTTTATGTCGTCTCCACATTCCCCCCAATATTTTAGCGGTCTGAGTTTCTAGTATTCCTTCAACCATGGCGAACACAGAAAATAATGGTTCCTGCTTTTGCACTATTTTGGACGCTGCGAGAACAGCTTGTCTCACATGGTGCACGTCAGAACTGAAAATTCTGTGCGACTGCCACAAGGGGGCGTATTCCGACAGTTATGTTCAAATGTTGTGTGCAGATGAAATGCGGCTTTAGGAGAGAACCCCAGACTTCCCTCTCCCAGCTCCTCTGGGGAGATCCTGAGGCGCTCAGAGGCTAGCCGAGAGACATCTAAGGGTGCTTTCACTACACTTACACTTACCTACACTTTTGTTTTGGAACATGTCTCGATTGCCCAGTTAGCGCGGTTCGTTTGGCATATGTGAACAGGGCAATCGCGCTCTGTTCCGCGCCAAAGTAATCGCTCCGAGATCACTTGAGTGAGGTGGTCTCGGCTCGATTGAAACAAACCCTGGAGCGGTTCGATTACAGTGAGAAAGCGATATGATCCGAGCGCGGTTATATCACAGTGTTCTATGGATATGTAATAGGCATACGGCTATATGAAGAGAGAATTATGAGAATGGCGGGAAGTTTCGCGAGTCTCCGGATGCCCGCAAACGAGTGATGATCTCCTGGTAATCTCGCGTCTCCCTCACGGTCCTCAAATAGGCTACGTCGCGCACCTTTCTCACCCCTCCCCACCGCATCTGTTTTCACACACATCGCGCATGCACACCCTGTCAATCACCACCCAACCACCACCTCTCCTGACAGCTTAGCGGGACGCTGCAAATTAAACCCTGACACTCTGACCAATGTGAGGAGAGTTTACTCGCACGTGACTTGTTTTAGCTCTTTTGGTCCGATTAGAAACTTTGCAGTGTGAACGCGAATCGCTCCAAGAGCAAAGAGCAACAATGTAACATTTGTAATCTCTGTTTCGGAACAACTGAATCGATTCACAGGTGTGAAAGCAGCCTAATACTCCCTCCAGCGTGTGGGTCTTCCCCGAGGCCTCCTTCTGGTGGAACATGCCTGGAACTCCTCCTTAGGTATACTGTAGGCATCCGAAACAGATGTCCAAGCCACCTCAGCTGACTTCTCTCAATGTGGAGGAGCAGCAGCTCTACTCCGAGCTCCTCCCGAGTGACAGAGCTCATCATCACCTTGTCTAAGGGTCCACCCTGCGAAGGACACTCATTTTGGCTGCTTGTATCCGAGATCTTGTCCTTTCAGTCATGACCATAGGTGAGAGTAGGAACGTAGATTGACCGGTAAATCGAGAGCTTTGTCTTTCGACTCAGTTCCTTTACCACAATGGACCGCTACATCGACCGTATTACTGCTGCACCAATCCGCCTGTCAATCTCACACTCCATCCTTCCCTCACTCATGAACAAAGCCCTGAGATACTTAACTCCTCCGCCTGCGGGAAGGGCTTTCCTTTAACCTGGAGATTGCAAACCACCTTTTTCTGGTGGAGGATTAAATATAATAAACCATTTGACCTGCTACAGAAAATTGGGCTACACTTTAAGGTGATGTAGTTGTTGTGTAACGATTCACTAAGTAATATTAATTACCCATACTAACTGAGTTTAAGGTGAGTTAGATGCATCATTCATTGTAATTACTATAGTACGTTATGTAACTATAGGGCTGGGCGATATGGCAAAACTCAAATCATAAGCCATCTCATATCCTGATAATGTTATATACTCATGATATCATTTCATTCATTTTCTTGTCGGCTTAGTCACTTTATTAATCTGAGGTCGCCACAGCGGAATGAACCGCTAACTTATCCAGCCAGTTTTTTTACACACTACGGACAATTTAGCCTACCCAATTCACCTGTACTGCATGTCTTTGGACTGTGGGGGAAACCGGAGTACCCGGAGGAAACCCACGCAAAGGCAGGGAGAACATGCAAACTCCACACAGAAACGCCAACTCAGCCGAGGTTCGAACCAGCAACCTTTTTGCTGTGATGCGACTGCGCCACTGCCTCCCCCGATATCATTTCAGTAAATCCTAAATATAAAATAAAGAAACATCAAGCAAAGCACAACAGTACTATTTCATAATGCACATAGTATAGCAAACACGCGTCTAATAACTTTCACACATGTCTGTCCAAACAGCTTGAAAAGTAGATTTTTCACCAGGAGTGCCCTTTAAAACAAATAAACATCACCGAATCAAACAAACAAAGAGAAAAAGAAAAACAGACCTCTGTTCAAACACAAAAACGGGACTTATACACAAAAGACAGGGACTAGTTTATTACAAGAAGGTAACTAAACATCACAAACTAATACAAAACAACCACCAAACATAGTCAAATAATACACTTAAAATAATTAACCAATATATAAACAAAACTAGCAATTCAAATACTAATAATAAACAAACATATAGTAATAAACATTTAAACACCCCCCTCAGCCAATTTGCATGTTGGTTTGGTCGGGCGGAAGAAAATGTCAGCAAATGTTGCCGGCCGGTCCCTTAGAGCAGTCGGATCTGTGTTAGACTACAGTCTCTGAAGCAATGAGCCACGCCATCTTGGATCCCACAGGTAACTTTAACTCAAAGAAATAAATATCATCAAATCTTGTCAAAAGAACTAGAAAGTGTGCACTCCGAACCAGCAACTTATGACATGAAATAATTGAAATAAAAATGTGAAACTGAACCAAACGGTGTCTGTCACTATTGACTATAATCTGTAACAAATAAGAAATACCAAATTAACATTTATAAATGTGGCTGTGTGTGTGTATATACCATTGTATTAATGTGGGGACACAGCGTTGGCCATCACAATCTATAAGAACACTGAGAATATTATGATCGATCAGTAAAACAATTAGTATGTTCACATGGACACCCGTAATGCGATTTTAAAATGAGTAAGATTATACTCTGATTAAGAGTCTGCCATGTAAACAGCGATTTTGACACGGTGCATGAAGCGTTCCTGAATGAAAGTGAGGTGCCAAACTGCAGTTAACATCAAAAAATGAAAAATGAAACACCTGAAATTACAGTACATGAAACTCCGGAGGAAATGTGGATAGCGTGGCGACTCGATGATGTTAAACAAATTATGTGCTATAACGTGTAAAAGCGGATCATGAAAGGAACATTCAAAAAGCAGCTCATGTAAACACCTTAATCTTAATATTGTCTTATTCAAATTAAGGCAAAGATTTACATTAATGATGTCCGTGTAATTGTAGTTATTGACCGATGCACTTTGTATTCTGGTTTGAGTGAATGGTGCAAAATCATGTTGAAAGTGAAAGACTTGTCATGACATTATGGCCCATATTAAAAACAAGCTTTAGAGTCCTAGAAGCTGGATATCAACCCACAGTGACTTTCACCTAACATTAGCAAGTCAATAAGAGTGTACTGAGAAATGCAATGTCAAGAGTTCATTCTTGTCCATCAACTAAAAAAAAGCTAAATTGACAATAAGAAAAAATTAAAATGTATGCATGTTTTTTTTTTATTGACATATAATGCAAAGACTTCAGTTCACAAATGGCAAACTAAACTCATTCTGCTCAACGAATAATAAAAAAAATAAAGTAGATGTTTTTTTAAACAGCTGGAAACACTTTCATTACACAGACTACAGCTCTGATCTTCAATAAATGCTCAGAGAATAGAGATTTTTAGGTGCAGTTCATTTTCACACACACAGATATGAGAAACACAAAATTACTAAGATTTAAGATAACTAAAGACAGTCCTAAATGTCACTTAGTACTGCAAAATGATGATACAAATGCATATAGAGAACGAAACCTGCAAAAACAACAAATAAATATGCAAATAAATATATAAATGAGTTTAAAAAATGCATAAATTCCTGCATTAAACAATAAATAAATAAATGAGTAAATAAATCCACAAATTCCTGCTTAAATAAACAATAAGTATGCAAATAAATAAATGTGTAAATAAATGCATAAATACCTGCATAAAACAAAAAATAAATGCAGAAATAAAGAGTAAAATCCATAAAAACCTGCATAAAAAACCTGCATTCAACTTTATTGTCATTACACATGTACAAGTTGCATTGTACTTGTACATGTGTAATGACAATAAAGTTGAATCTAATTTAATCTAATAAAACAATAAATACGCAAATAAAGAGTAAATGAATCCATAAATTCCTGCATAAAACAAAAAAAAAAAAATATGCAAATAAATTACTAAATAAATCCATACATTTCTGCATAAAGTAATAAATAATGCATATGCAAATAAATAATATAAATAAATCCATAGATTTCTGAATAAATAAATAAATAATTAAATACGCAAATAAAGAGTAAATAAACAGAGTAAATATATCCATAAATACCAGAATAAAATAATAAATATATGCAAATAAAGAGTAAATAAATCCATAAATACCTGCATAAAACCATAAATAAATATGCAAATAAAGAGTAATTAAATCTATAAAAACCTGCATAAAATAATAAATATGCAAATAAAGAGTAAATAAAGCCATAAATACCTGCATAAAACAATAAACAAATACACAAATGAATAAAGTAAATAAAACCATAAATACCTGCATAAAACAGTAAATAAAAATGCAAATAAAGACTAAATAAATCCATAAATACCTGCATAAAACAATAAATAAATACGCAAA